TGTTGGTGACAAGCATACGAGAGTCTGGAAAACATTGTGTCAACTCACTTGGACCAAGATCAATACAGTCTGGATCACGAGCAACATCAATGTCATCCCCTGGCTCCATGAGTGGAACCACATCATTCCACCGTTCCCGTCTCAATGGTATCCATCGTGCAGAGTGCTGAGAAGTAGTCGAACGATTACCCTCGTCCAATACGAACAGTACCTCTTTTCCATCGCCGTTGAGCACCTTTCCAGGTACCAGCTGAGATGACAGAGGAGACTTCCTGTGCATAAGAAAGACATCGGGATTTCCTCGAACTGTCTTTTCCACCAGCTGCGAAAGGATGTTATCCCCCTTTTGAGGAAACGCTCGAAAGTAATAATCGTTACACCCTGTCAACTCGAAGACATTCTTCGGCAAAACTCCTGATTGTAGCTCATCCCCAGGCAACAACTCAGATGTCTCTGCCTCCGACATAGCAATCATGGTAACTTCCTTCCCCATAGACAAAATCCGTACGTTCTCACTGTCCGGATGGATTAATATCCAGTACTTGTCGTCAAACGTAACACGCACCAAGAATGTATCATCTTTGAAGACAACTTGAGTAATCGTCCCCGTTCGAACCTTCCCATCATCCATTACAACTTCAGCCCGCCTGTTGATGAAGCGGTTTTCGGCATCCCGTCTCTGCTTACGAAAGTCTCGTCTGGTACGACATGTTTTGGTCGACGACGCTGCCTCTGTATCCGTATGATCCGCATCCTCTCGACCACCGTCAACCATCACTGTAGGCACATAATCTTCATCGCTGTCCTGGCACACCATCTCAGCAGCCCTTACTCCCTCATCATCCGACTCCAGTGAATGATCCTCCAACCGTGTTCTCTTTCGACGACCACTAGTCCGAGCATTCACTGCCTCTGACCGTTCATCTTCAACACCCTTGACAGGCGAATCATCCTCCATGTCAATATCGTGCTTTACCACCACTTCAGGATCCTCTTGCCAATTCATCCGTCCCGCACGTCGAAATGGAAAGAAGAATTCATCACAGGTCAGATTATTCGTGTGATAGATTTTGTTGTCGTCAACACACCATACCAAGTAGCCAATGGTATGCCCAGGAAAAGCGTTTGCATTTCCGAGCATAATGCCCTGTTTAGCTGGATCTTCAATCTTCGAACTGCGTACATTATTCTTGAAGAATGTCATACACCCAAAGGTCTTGAGAGATTTGAAGTCGAAAACATCTCCATTATAGATTGTATACGGAGAAAGATTGCCGAAATTCCTGAAACTCGGGAGAGCATTGTACAGGTACGTAGCCTGCATAACAGAAAATTCCCATTTCTCGATAGGCAAAGCACTCTGTTTGAGCAAAGTTCTGTGGATAGTACTGACTGTCGCTAGCTGCGGTGTCTTCATGCATCTTCTCG